CGGCCCCTCACAATAAAGAAACTACTTGGACCATGGCCTGAGATGCATCTTCAGAAAAAGGCAATAATCTTCCTGACAGACTTTTTAGTGGAGACCGGACTGGACAAGCGCCTATGACCGACAGCCAGAAATGGGTATTATGTAAAGTGTGGTCATGTATATACTGGCATTAGAGTACTAAGGTGTGCGTGTAAGTAATTTATGACTGTGTGAACTGCGTGAAGAAAACTGTGTATTGACATGTTATTTGAACTGGTTTCAGTGTGCTAGTATGTGATTTTTTTCCTTTTCCGTATTGTTAATTTTTGGGTACCGTTCTGTATTATTCTTTTATTTTTCGCTGCAGAACTCTGTGATATGGAGTAGCCGAGGCAATAGACTCCTCAACCTCTCCACAGCAAAACAGTTAAAACAGAACAGAACAGAACAGAAGGGGCACGTGGTAAAAACTGCCACCAAACTACGCTGCTGCTAATCGTGTTTTCCGTAAGCGGTGAGACCCGTATGTACTAGAAAGAAGAGCCATGCTTTTCATGAAGCACATGCATATGGTAGACCTTAGTATTGTTTTATTTGGATTAATCAAACGGACTTATAGAGTAGCGTTCACGTCATCATCATTTACCGTCGGGATCAAGATTTTAAACCTCCTTAGTCGGGACATGCACTGCCAATGCGAGGATTACTACTAAGGTCTCCAGAGACGCATAAGTGCAGTACAAGTTCAACAGAGCTAATGAGGACGCAATCAGCTGGGTGGAGATGCCGGGGCACTGTTTCACTATACGGTGCAAAGGTTGTGTGCACCCCTTCTCAGCAGGATACAACTTTTTGCTTTGTTCTACCTTCTCATCTTTCTGCAACCTCTTTTCTCCCCTTTATCCCTTCCCCAGTGCAGTGTAGCAAACCGGATGTGTGTCTGGTTAACCTTCCTGCCTTTCCTTGCATTTTTATCTCTCTCTCTCTGCTAAAGTTATGCACCCGTCTGAGCTATCGTAATGCAAGCTAGCGCTGTGGAGTATTTTAATGCGTACCAGCCAGCATTGATGGTTCCTGGTCAACCTCAGTGAGTTGACCCACTGAGGTTAAGGCGCCGAGTCTCCGTTTCTGGATCTGGCCTGTGAGCATGGCTGCATGTAATATAGAGTACGACACACACAAGTATACAGTGTCCCTACACGAAAGCTTCTCTTCCTGCCTTGTGTATATAATCGGACCCAACCTCACTGCCACGTTTGAAATACGTGCTGTACGTTCGGGCATGCTGCGCAAGCGGTGAAATTGTCTCATGTCAACGCGCTTTACTGGAGCGCTGTAACTGTCATGCCTCCTCGATTTTTCTACACATACAAAAAAACGCTTCGCATCCCCCAGTGGCGCATTTTCAAACACCAATGTGGAACGTCTGGTGACCTCTACGGAGTGGTGGAGTACGCTAATGCCTTAGAATATGTAATTTCGTCGGTAGGCTTTGTTTCGTCACGTTCCAGGCACTCCCCGTTGGCGCAAGTTTGTATTCCGACAAGTTTGGGTGTACCACGCACTGTGTGAGTTCCTGAAGAGCAGCGGGCTTATGAACAACGGCGTCGAAAGCAGAGGTGGCATTGCGCCCGTCAGCTACGTTGGACACTCAGCTTCATAACTGTAGCAAAATATGCTTTCGATCTTTTTTTGTTTCACGTTCGTTGAGTTAACAAACGGCTTCGCGGCGGCGATATCATAGCGACTGCATTAGCACACTGCATAGAAAATGAAACAAATCAGTGAATGGTCCCAATTCATTGGCGTTTGGAGCTCTTGTCATCTTCAGTAATAGTATACCTCAATTAGGGAAAGAAATCAAGTGAAGGAATCTCACAAAATTCGATTTGAGGACATACTTTCGTATTTATTGTATTTCTAAGTTTTCCAGGCTCTGTTAAGTCTGATCACGTGAGTGTAGCTTGACTTTTCATGTTATGTAGCGTTATGTGTCGGAAAATAAGGGCAGATCTCACAATTCAATGAAGAATGAGTTTAATAAATAACTACATACACTTTGTAAAACAGCCTTCTACGTGATAAGCACCATTGAGCATTTAGATTCAGTAGACTTGTTATGAATCCAATAAGGAATTCGTAATCGATTCATTGTGTAATGGCGACTTGGATAGAATTGGCTGACCATGTGAAGACCATGTCAGGAACAATTAGTAAAATTCTGTGAAGCACGCACTTTGTACAACAGACAGAGCGTGCCACGGCACGCCATAGGCGCTAAAACCATGACGTAATGTTTTTAACGTGGCGTAATCAACCAGCGCTGTGCAATTCATTCATATTATGATAGGCATGACCATACATGCTGCACTCGCGAGTTTAACAACACGCACAGATAGAGATGTACAGTCGTCAGCAACATTGAAACGCACACTCCACAGCGTATCCTGTAACAGAGTGATTGGCGCTGGTGCCGCGTAGCTTTGGTTTCCGTTGTCGAGATGTTATCCATGAATATAGACAAACTATCGAAGCATATCCAAGATACCATATCGGCAACAGCACGCCGAGTTTCACGGATGTAATCAGTCTAAGTAGGCCTGGTCACGCGGTGTAGCATTCTTGTTAAGCTTCCTGGCGACTGTACGTTCGGGTACCGATTTAGAAGTCGGTGGTGTTCCTACCTGGAAGGCAGATTCATACAAGCCTGAACCAATGGGCGCGCATTCAATACTCACATCAGAAAACGTAGGTGGGGCTATATTGGGCTTTTTAGTCACGGGTGAAATCTTCTGCAGCAGATCGGTAATCTGGCTCCGCATTGTTCTGCCTTCTTGAGTCATGCCTTGCCATAGATAATGATGCCTTCGCAATAATTGCGAAATTAAGAAGTCGCAGGATGTGCGGACTTTCATACTTTGAGATTACGAAAGCATATTAGGCTAGAGTTTCATAATTGCTGGCGAAAACATAACATGTATACAACTGTATTTTAAAACATTGACACCCGAAATCCACTGAATTACATGGAGCACACGTATCTCGCTACATCGTGTCTCGGATTAAACAGACGTAGAATGGTGACCGAAATGGCACTGGCGACTTACACTGCGTGAAATAGTGTTTGAGGAATGTGTCCAGCACATTCCTTTATGGCCAAATACCTTTTGGCAACAGTAGACTTAAGGACATTTGTACGCAGAGATTGTGTCATTATTCAAAGCATTTACGTTGTCACGAGTAGCACACCGTTGCTCGGTGCAATATATGCACTTCACAAGAATATAGGGTCCACGGATGTCGTCACCAAAAGCATTTCTAAAAAAAAATTTGGCATCACATCAGTTCGGTGGTAATGGTAATATGTACAAACATGGACAATTAAAGTAGGAACAACTAAGCTCCAACTAACAAGCGTTGTATTGTTCTTCTTTAGTCCACTCGTAATATACGACCACTTTCACTTTGCGCGCATAGTTCGACACCTATAGACCACACTTGCCAACCGCATAACTTGTGCGGGATGGTGCTCACGATAGCTACCACTTGCAAAGCCCATTCTGCCTTTCAACTTCTTGTTCTAGTTTAATTTGTCCATGACTGTACGTTAGTCTGAGTAAAATATCCATCGCAAAGCGAAACACGACATCGAAAAACAGTCTTTTCTACAGAGTTCATTGCAATGGGTACGTAGCTTTTAATATTGTTAAGCCGTAATAGCGGCTCCCATGTCACATCTTGAAAAAGATGCGTGTGCTTTTATTTAAATACACGACGTCTAGGTGTTCATTGTTATATACCACTAACACATCGTTCAACTTATCATCAGATAACACTAACAAGAACAAACCAATTAGAGCTTAACACTATTACTAACACATGACTGATTCTTCTTACCATGCCCAGCATACTTAGATGCAAACACTGTGCACATTATGCCATGGTATTTCGTGTACTGCGTTATACAATGCTCAATGTTGGCTTACACCATTGCTGATATGTAACCACTCTTTTGACTCCAAAATATTCTATATAACTTCGCCTGTCGGACAGGCACCACGTCACCCCTACGCTCAAGCACAGAGAAAAGACGTCAGTTTATTGAAACAAGTTAGCGAGTAACAATGTGGGGTAAAAACAAGAATAAATAGAATACTTACTCTCTTTACCAGATGAAATAAACTAACACATCACACAATAAAAAGCCTGCTGGCCTCTCTACCAGAATTTTATACAGCCTGTACGACCGTAATTCTAGAAATATTAAGAGAGTGATCCCTATAGCTTAGAGAAGTCAATACAGCAAATAAAAAAAGCGCAACTGAGTGCACATGAAATGTGCTTTCATTGTGACTTAAGCTTGTCACAGTACCGACTTCTTAATGCAGTATGGCAACAGAAATAAATAATGAGAGGAACGACATGGCTTGCAAAATGAAAACGAAGAAAGTCTTGAGCATGAATTCAAGTAAGCATGAAATGACATTTAACACTGGTGAATTATTGATGTAAAAGTGTGTGCATATATATATGCACACACGCGCGCTCTTTTTATCCTTGATATAAAATATGCTTTGATACACCTTTGCGTATATGATTGCACAGTGCTGTAGACTCGGCCTTTCTTTTAGCCCCATATTTCGCACCCCACAAGCACCGCTATAGCCTATCTCTAACGTCAAAGTCATATACGATTGTGTGGGACGTCAGCTGAGCCGTATAAAAGGCTGCGTAGAACGTGAAGCTGTGTGCGAATCGGGAGTCGGGCATAAAACAATGCAATGGATAGCAGTTGTGACCCCCTGGAGCGAAATGTGGTCAGCTTATCATGATACATTGAGTACATGAGAACATTCGCCCCTCTTAATGTTTTGGCGCTTTCACCGCAACGCAGGATCTGTTGCCCAAGAAATAACCGGGCAGGTTGGTCTCCTAACCGGTTCAGATGCGCACCGCCGTCACTTTAAAAACGTTGGCCCCCGGTGAAGTAGAACAGCCGCCTAAAAAATCGAATGTCCCATCAGAAGACAATTATTTGTCGAATCCAGTCGGCGAAATGCGTGATCCTCGTGTACACTCCGGGTTGATTTGGCAGAGCACACCCGATGCCCCACGATATGATGCCGATCAGTGACCACTGCCCCGTCTTCAGATCTTTGAGCACCAGTGGGCCTCCAGAGTCACCCTAAGGGAGAGAGAACGAGGCATTCACCAAAACGCATGCAAGCACACATCAACACGCACATAACTGATACAAGAGGAGGCTCAGGGACTTGCATCATGGCCACGCTCCTACCCAAATGTGTTGAGTGAAATCCTGCTAACCTTTATTGTTTTCAAGGCAGCGTGTCGCGCTTTCATATTTTAGTTTGAGTGACGACAAAGTACCCAGGTACATGTTAATAGCTTTGCATGACAGCAAAGTATGCGAGTCTGTATTTATGTTTGACAGTTTTTAAATGACGCAGTTCGTGAAAGTGGGCATTTTCTGCTTGCATTTATTGCTTTTCTTTATGGGCAACAAAGGTGGCAGTTAGGAAAGGAAGTTTGCTGTAGCAGTTGTGGTGCATGTTCTCTTGCAGGACCCTACTGCTCCCCCCTTCCATCTCTCTCTCTCTCACGCACACACACACACACACACGCACACACACACGCACACACACGCACACAACCACACACACACCACACACACACACACACACACACACACACACATACACGAGGAAGCCTGAGCGAATGACAACAAACTTAGTGGGACCTCATCTGATTCGGAAGATAATTGAACTGCAACAGTAACTGAATGAAACGCCCGACAGGTCATCATACAGTACCTTCAAACAAATTCTACAACCAACACATGTCATCGACTTTCCCCTCGATAGCGTCATCCTTCACTGCGATGCATCTGGAAGGCTGTTCAACGTCCTAGGCGACTACCTTTTATGCAGATTTCAGAATAATCTCCTTCACGTGAGCTCGTGTGAGCACAAAGCTGTTACTGTTACACTGTTTCTGTTGCTGTTAAATTGTTACAAACACGACCCGACAAGCACTTGCAGTCGTTTCCTTCATGAACTCCACCGGTCATCACCGGCCTGGTACTTCAGCTGTCAGGGCTCATATAAGGTGACCATTGACAAACACAAGACAATGACGCTTTTGTGCTTAGTGAGCTAACCGGCATCTTTCAGCTACTAAACTCGGCCTGAATATTCCGCAAATATATATCACTTTTCCATTCTTCCCGTAGCTGTAATTAAACCTGTGTTGCAATATGCTCAATAAATATGTCAGTATATTTAGAGATTAGGAACTCTTTAGATTGACGTTGATATTGCGCGTGCTTTATAAACAGAGAAATAAAAGAATGAAGAATTTTCCGAGATTAAAGGGCAGCAGCCGTGTTGGCTTAGGGGCAATAAAATTACCATACAGGCATTGCACTGGGTAAGAGCAGTTTATGCACGGAAGTTCGAACAACTTTTAACATTTTCTCTATAAACAGCTCTACAGTATAAAACACACTCAAGAGAGTACTTAGCAATGAACATAGAACATGGATGTCGTTGCGAATTTCCAATGTAAGAACAAAAATTCTTAAATGAGAAGCAAATACAAGACACTCCTAAGTAATAAATAGCTATGATACAACAAATTACTTTGAATGAAAATCAATACAGAATGAAATTTCAAAAAGCAGCTGTAGGAGCTTTATTAGCAGATATGCTAACAAGGATAGCCAAAAGTCAATTTATTTCTGATATAATTTAGAGAAGAAAAATACTTTCGCAAAAGTTAATTCTGTAAGTGTAGTTTGATTGGGTAGAAGTGCAAAAAACACTATTTTACTTGATACTAGGTGAAGAAATGAAAAACACCTATTAGGGACCTACCTCACAAGAGTCCTTGCCTCCTTTGGCGAGACCGGCACAAATAAAGATGTTGGGGATATCCTCGATGAAGCCCGCCTTGCGGTACATGCTCTCGCATTCTTTGTTGGTAATGATGGGAACGCTGACCTTCTGCATGATGTTCGGAAGGGGTCCATCTGCGTAGTAACAAGTGCACTTTATATACTCGTGTGACATGAGCAAGCGAAACGGCGCAGACAATCGTCTGCACTCCGAACGACTACTTGCTTACACGAGTGCGGATATAGTTAGGAAATGAACACACGAGAGAAAGGCCGCTCACTTGCAGCTCAATTTATTCGAAAAAGCTTCACGCCAGGAAAGCTTATGCACAGGTGCATTGGCAACATACACTGTCGCAGAAAAGTCTTCCCACATCGCTGGCAAACCCGATAACAGTCTATGAATGTTAGAATGGAGGGGGGGGGGGGGTAGTTACATTTATTCAGTTTAACTGCTATCAAAGAATTCTGCCCTTTTCATCGTCAAGTGAGCGTCCTTTCTGTGAGAGAGAGAGGAAAAACTTTATTTGCGCATAACGTGGAGCATTCCAAATGGTCGGGCCCCTGTTCCAGGGCTTCGCTGGCCCTAGCCATAATCTCTACCCGTTGGACCAGCCAGCGCTGATCAGCAATGGCCGAATTGGATAGCGATGGGACAGCAGTGCTTCCCATTGTTCCTCTGTATTGTTCTTGTTGAGGTGTTCTTCATTGTGATGTGTACACTCCCACGTGATGCGCAACAGAGTTGGTGTGGGCACCACACACACGTACAAATATCTCTGTATGCTGTGGGGTAGAATACATGTAGCCTGTGTGCGTTCGTGTATGTGTTTGGATTCTGCGTAATGCCACCGATTCTATTGCTGTGAGGTTCTTATGTCGTGCTGGATACAGTTTTCTATTGTCTCTGTAATACTGAAGAAATGTACCAAAGTTAGGGTCTATGGGCGTTGAATCCTCTATTGCAGTGTGCAAGGAAGCTCGGTAATCTGTGAAGCCTCGAGCCGCCTCATCCGCAAACTGGTTCCCGGTGACGCCCTCGTGCCCTGGCGCCCAGATAATGGTTTGGGTGTATTCAATTGGGAAGTCCTTACGAGCTTTGGTTAGAATTTGGAAGGCCTTCATACATAGTCTACCTTTTTCGTAATTTCTACATGCAGCCTTCGAATCCGTGATTATCGGGGGGCTTTTCGCTCCCTGCCCTCCTTGATTGGCAGCGCTATCGCTATCTCCTCCGCTTCTGGGATAGAGGCTTGGGCTATAGAGGCACAACTTGTAACGTTTCCTTTTCGGTCTGTGACCACGGCCACCATGTTATTTGCATTTGGCTGATATGGTGCAGGGTCGTGTGTTATTTTCCTAACCACGTCCACGCTCCCCAAAGCAAAATGCCGAATTAACTAGCCCAACAGTTGACCATATTGACTCTTCAAAGCTGTTTAACCAGCGAAAGCCAAGAAAGTCGTCTGGGCATAATGACTAAACATTGTGTTTATTAGGAGCTTTTTTTAGCATTGTATCAGTAGAATTGATTTTATTACAGTAAAAATGTTGACAATTCTTGTCAAGATAGCAATTTATGTGTTGTTGAAAATAAAGGAATTCTTGGTACTAAATTCTTTACCGGTCACAATTTTTCTATACATCACTCTGCATTTAGGAAATCATTGTGAAAAAAAAGAAAAATACAATGTTACTTCGAACGGCGATGGGGCGTTCGTTATTTATTGATAACATGGCATGAAAATTTCTATTGATGTCCCGATTATTCAGTCATGGACAAACTAGGGACGCCTCCCCCCCCCCCCCCCCCCCCATGAATACATAAAGGCCAAGTCCCTCTGTGGCCCCACGACCCCTCTGGATAGCCGCGAGTTGGTCCGCCAGCATGTCACTGCGGGGCATCCGCTGCTACCAGTGTTCGCTTCGAGAACATTCACCAGCCAACGCCGAGCAAGGCAAGATTATGTTGTGTAAATCAAGCAAATTCGCACTCTTAGTAGAACAGATTGAAACACTGCCGTCCGGATTAATTTTATTCATGACAACCGGGTTAGGGTATGTCCGTGTCTGCACAAGCCGTAATGTAACCGTCTGTGGTTTGTTTAATCTATAATGTGACAAAAGAAATGTGTGTGCCTTAGGTAATACTACTTAATGATGTAGTTGTAGGTTAACAGCTGGTCCTCTAACTTAGTAGTGGAAAATACAGACCACTCAGGGAGTGCACGGCTCACTAATCCTCCTGCCTCCCTGTGCGCCACATCGTTGACGTTACGCAGAGCTCACCCATGTGCGTCGGAAGCCAAGTAACTGTATGCGAAGTGATGGCTCCACCCTGCAGCAGGTCGACAAGCCGGTGCGGTAAACACACCCATCGAGAAGGGTTAATTGCAGATCGAGAGTTCCTAACGACTAAAGTTTTGCAAAAATCAATCAGTGCTAGAGCAATAGCCATCTGCTCAGTGACCCCGAATCCTTTGTATAAACGGAAGTGGCAGTTCAAGCACTCCTTTTGCCATCTAGCACCACCACCACCGTGTAAGCATATTTTCCATTAATCCATGCCACGTCTACGAACGCAAACTCTTCCTCCTCCTCCTGATTATTCGCCCCCGCAACCAAGCCCTAGCTCTCATCATCCACCTCCCAACCTTCCTAGCACAGGGCGCACATTGCTTGGGGACAGACGAATCATGATAATAGCCCTAAGGCTCACGTTCAACTCGTGTAGCCGCGCCCCATTGCACAACACAACCACGGATTCCCTAACTGACACTAAGATATAGCTACCCTGCCGGTCCACCTAGTGACCACTCTGTGTGCCATACGCCAAGCCTCGGCGATTTCATCTAAAGTATTATGCAAAGCCAACCTCAACAACTAACCTCCCGGTCCTTCCATTTTTTTCGCCCCCTCCTCCTCGTAACATCAACATGTCGTTTGATGTGTTCACAGGCAAAGCGCCACCTTCATGGTTTTTCTATAAAAGCTTCCAATTTGTTTCTCTCTCCACTTTTCAAATATGGCACATAGCTGCCACATGCGAGAAATGGTACAAAATCAATGCCTGGACTAACGGCATGTCACGTTTTCCTAAGCTTATATGCCTATTGGAGGTCCCTTGGATAGATCTTGTGGCCTCCTCTGTCTTTTTGGTAATTCACTGAATATTATTTGATTTATTGGCTTAAACTACCAAACCCAGGGCCCTGATAACCTCAAGTTTTCGTACCAACTCGTCGCTAATATAGACTGTAATGAAAGTCTCAACTTCCGGTTCCCAATCCTTTGGCCTATGACCTACTTTGATAGATTTGAAGATTAGCAACTTCGACTTTTTTTTTAGAGGAACACTTCAGCTTCTTGAAATGAACACTATTTCGTAGGTACAGGCAGCACTGCAAAGTTAAGGACGCAAAAATATAAAACAACACAAACAAAACCCACGCAAACAAAGCGCATTGTCTGTGTTAGTCCTGTTTTTTTTTTTCGTCCAACGGCAGCATCATTGCCTGCGTATAGCATTCAGGAAAGGAAGCGACCACTTCCGTGTGGAAAAAAAAAAAGTCTTACCATTTCGAAATAGGATAGCGTAATGAAACCACACTGTAAAGCGTCTGGTCTTCCGGCACATTAGAACACCTCCTACTGAAGGTACTTGGGTCCGTATTGTAAAATATTTAACATTGTTGAAAACAAGGCGTTTTGTAGTGCGATAGTTAAATTTTACCTAAATGTTCCAGTGTGTTTCTCGTGTATAGTATTGGGAATCGGTGTTGACAACTAGCCATGATTTTCGTTTTGCCTATTTCTCGTTAGTCACGGCAGGGTGCTGTTGCCACTGGCTAGAGGGGGATTTCGTGCGCATGTCCCAAAATGCTTGTGATAATTTCCTTCGAAACGCCAAATAGAATAACATTTTAAGACTGCATAAGAGAAATTTCTTGTGCATTCGTAGGACATTGATAGTGTCACAGTGAGTTCGTGGTGCAGTCATATAATATTTTTATCTGTCATACCTGCGTTGCCCTGCACAAATACAGGGTGGCCATCTGAGTGCCCCCAGTGGTTGACTTTCACGGATTTCCTTTGTCCCTCTCTCCTACTCTGTTTAGTATAAAAAGCGGCAATTTTAGATCACATGCTTATTTATTGTCGTGATTGAGACAGGCAAGCACGACATGCACATTCTCACACACGGGGATCTGCCCGAGGCACTTTTCAAACATTTATGCGTAAGAGAACCTTCAGTGCTCTGAAGAACAGACGCGCCCAAGCGTTCGCACGAAACCCGATCACATTACGAGGAAACGCATTCCTGCGTAGTCTACCATAACCATTTGGGGCTAGAGCGCGGGTAAATTGAAGCTGCGGAAGACAGGTATTTACGCCCTGCCATTAGTGTTCTTTCTGGGCGGTCGAGTGTGGTCAGTAACCCTTTTGACGTCGCCTACAAAGATCGCGAAGAGATAGCTTTTGACGTTGGTAAATATACGCAAACATGTTTTCCTCCTGTCTCGACGCCTCTACGATTTTGTTGTGGGTAGCTTTCTACCTGCTTAAGGAGCTTTCCTTAACGACCTTCAAATTGCAGGGTCAGTGCTATTCACGAAGTACTTACATAAATCGGCGACATTGCTTACTGTGAATGAATACGTCTAACGTTCATATTATTGTTCTTTTTGCTTTGGTGTGACGTTCTTGTTTGGCAGCTTCCGTGTTGCTATCTAGCGCCTACCTTCTTTGCGTTTCGCCGACAAGAAAGGGGCCGGCGTACAGTCAGAAAAGGTGATTTATTGCGGTGGAGAAACGTGCCCACCAGCACACAACCAGTCAGGCAATCTACATAGTCCTATCTCTGGGACGACCCAGGGGAGCACAAAAAGTTCAGGGGCTGTAGGGACAGTGTAAGTGAGCTGATCTCCGGGAATTCCCCGTTTAGCGCGACCAGAACAGAGGTTATTTCTAGTTGTACCCTTATCTCGAAGGGAGCGGGGGCATCCATCCACGTCCTGTATTTATCAGCGGTCTCAATCATACTGCTGTACGGTGCGTACACGCAAGAAGTAAAGCTGGCACAATTCGGAAATTGTGATGGCGAACCTTGAAAAGCCACATGCGCTCACGTAAAAACGTAGCACAGCTTTCCTCTTTGGCGATGACGCTGTACAACAAAGCAGTGTTGTGACGGTTGTGACATAAAACAGTGTTGCAATAAAATATTTGTGGTACAGCATTATGGGAGTTAACAAAAAAGTCCCAGTTTCACCGCAAGGGCGAAGCAATAGCAAAAACTTGGAATGTAACGCTGAGAACGGCAAGCAGACTGAAACGTGCAGCACGGTGCTCACGCACAAATGATGCACGAAAACAACATACACAGGACGAGAGGGAGCTCACAACGTTTACCTCTCGACATTTAACGCACTGTTAACAAAAAAACGAGGCACGAAACATAACCACAGGTACAGATATGAGTGCGAACTAACAAGTGCCGCACTTGTTACTTCGCTGTGTTTGAAAAGCATACCATTTTCGCAAACGGCGCCTGTGCAGTGTGCGAAGTGATCTTACTGCGCCCGGCAACTAAGCGTAATCGTTCCGGTCAAAGTCGAAGGCACGCGATCCTCCCCAACCGAAGGATAAACGCGCGCGCACAAGCATCTCACCTCCCTCCTCCCCATTTGCGGGGCAAAGTACGCGTGGGAGATAAGCGCGCATGGGCGCATCATGACCAGCTGGGCGCCGAGCGCGGTCCTAATGCGAAGCATTTCTTTGCGATCTTTGGGTGCATCTGTCTGTCTGTCTGTCTGTCTGTCTGTCTGTCTGTCTGTCTGTCTGTCTGTCTGTCTGTCTGTCTGTCTGTGTCTGTCTGTCTGTCTAGACGCCTACGACTTCTAGCTCTCCTGGCTGTTTCGATAATGGTATCAATACCAAAATTATTATGACATAACATGACAGTATAATGAGCATAACTGACTAGTCATAACATGAAAATCATGGCATGTTTTTCATGAATGCCATGATTTACACTTCTTGATCTTGCAGCTCTTGCGGTGGTTTCGTTCACATGACATGTAAAACGGCTACGGTATGTTATGACGGCATGGCGAACACAAGTAACAGACCCCAACATGAAAATCATGACATGCGTATCGTGTACACATGATTACACGCCGCACTCATGATGCACTCGCGACCGTTTCGCTTGGTTGACACACTAAATTTGATGTTACGTGGCGCGAACGGACGACGAAGCTAAATTACACCCCCGCCGCGGTGGTCTAGTGGCTAAGGTACTCGGCTGCTGACCCGCATGTCGCGGGATCGAATCCCGGCTGCGGGCGCTGCATTTCCGATGGAGGCGGAAATGTTGTAGGCCCGTGTGCTCAGATTCGGGTGCACGTTAAAGAACCCCAGGTGGTCGAAATTTCCGGAGCCCTTCACTACGGCGTCTCTCATAATCATATGGTGGTTTTGGGACGTTAAACCCCACAATTCAATCAATCAAGGTAAATTACACGTCCAAACATGGTAATCATGACATGCGTGTCATATAAAACTTGACTACATGCTAGGCTCGTGGCGCACTCTCGGCCGTTTGACGTGAATAAATGACGAAGGTAAATGACGCATCCAAACATGATAATCATGATATGCGTGTCAAGTAAAACATGATTACATGCAGCGCTCATAGCGTGCTCACGGCCGTTTCATAGCTCAACATACACCAAATTTGGTATCACGGGACGTGAATAGACGGCGAAGGTATATGACACCTTCAAACGTGATAGTTATGGCATACGAGTCGTGTGAAACGTTACTACATGCTATGCTCATACCACGCTTGCGGCCGTTTAGCTAGCTCCACAGATACCAAATTTCCTATCACGCGACGTGAATAAACGACGAACGTAAATGACACGTCCAAACATGATAATTATGTCTTAGAAATCATGTACGACATAATTTACGTTTGCCTCGTAACGTTGTGCTGATTTTAAAGTGATATATCAACCTTCCTCATTCGTGCTTCGCATATATCGTCGATTCCCACTGTCCGTAAGATCTGCAATATTTTTCGTTCTTGAGTTTTCATATATATATATATATATATATATATGAAAACTCAAGACTATGAGCGCTGACTATGTACTTCATCTTCATTTGTATGAGAAAACCATTGTAGTGATCATCATTGTATGTCACGCGGGCTGGGTCTCTTTTGCTCATGCACGTGGATTAAAAATATAACCTGGTTATTGCCGTACCGGACGTGGTCTCATAATATATATATATATATATATATATATATATATATATATATTTAAGGCAAAAAACCAGCCGAGACTCTCCATATGTTTGCCATCGCAAAAGTCACAGCTTTGCCGCAAAGGCGAAGCAATGAACGCAATAGCAAAACAAATATGAAGGTCACGCACAGAATGACAAGCAGATTGAAACGTGCCCCGTGTTTCTCACACACAAAGGACGAACGAAACGTACTCACAGGTACAGATTAACGCGAATAAGCGTCTCAGTTGTTACTTCGCTGTGTCTGAAAAGCGCGCCCTTTTCGCAAACGGAGGTTATGCAACAATTGCAATGACCTTTGTGCTCTTGGTAACTACAACAGAATCGTTCTGACGGAACTCAAAGGCTAGCCAAGACGTATATTCTCCCTCTGCAAGATAAGGGCGCGTTATCGAGCGTACACCCCTTTATTCTCTACGTAGGCCAAAGAATACGCGTGAGGGCTGAGAGCCACCTCGCGCTCACTGCGCCGTCTTGCTGATAATGCTGAAAATACGATAGTCCCCTCCCCCCCTTCCCGAGATGCGCGCCAACAGCGGTAAGTGGTAGATATGAATAGCTTGACGTTTGAACGTTTAAAGAGGTACCTCTCGATGGCTCAGTGGCTAGCGCCTGTATTCACGACGCAGAGGTCCCACGTTTGATTCCGCGTGCCGGAGCCTTTTTTTTTCTGGGATATATATAGATACGTATACATATACGGTGCATGACATCGACGCCGACGTCGACGATGAGCTCCAGCCGAGAATGTGCATATAATTGCTATCGCAATAAGAATATTTTCTACAGCCGCGGGCACGTCTGTGGAAAGCGCGTGAGCAGCCAGTTTTTGCTCTGCGGGGCGGAACCTTGTGGCAGTTTTAGGCTCTCGAGTGGCGGTGTATCAGGAGCATGCGCGGCCTAGTTGTCAGGCAGACCACGTGAGAGACCGATACCGCCTCAAGGTTTCGCCTTGCAGAGCGAAACCCGGCTTCTCGCGTGCTCAACCAACGATGGCATTGGCTCAATACACACGCGGCCACGGCTGTACACCTTAAATGTGGAAGCAGAGTAAATTTGCACAATTGTGCGTTAAACTGATCACTAGTCGATATTTAGGCAAATAAAAAAAATATTCGTTGCTCGGCCGAAGCTGCTAATGGTAACGGTTTTCGTCAGGCTGCGAAAGAGAAATAAAGGCAGGATGGACGGTGTAACCTCCACGTGGAAGAAGGAAGAACAGCGGAAATCGTCCTTTTCCATTTTTCTGTACAACCTTCTGTCGTTCTGTTAAGGTTTTTGTAGAGATTGTGACGATGGGCATTGCCTAAAGAAAAAGAAAAGCCCATGAGTTGAATAAAAAAAACTTTGCGCGACTTTTCCGCTAGGGGAATGGTGCATGTGTTGTGACATTGTGAAACAAGCGGATTGAAAAAGCACCAACGCGCACAAAAACAAGAACCACTACGCGCAAAAGCGACATGAAGCTGCTCACCGCAGAACGTGCACGCGCAGCTGCTGTCTTCGCTGTCTTGAATATTCACAGAAGTGAATGGGCTCCGAACTTGTCTGTAGGACTTTACACAGAAGAAGTCATGATTTTCTTTTTTTTGCTGCCACTCGTTAAGCACACGGGGTGTCTGTGTCCTGAACGTAATATTTGGACACGTGCGACCTTTCTTTCTTCAGTTATGCTTGAATACTATCGAGGCTTGGTCATTCTGGTGCATTTATGACTATGAATCTTCTTTGGTACTTGGGAGCTTTGTAGCTGTACTGTCGATTTGCCATGGTGTTGGTACAAGATCGCAATTCTCGTACCGCTGTACAGTCTTACCTTCGTACAGACGTCCCCATCCGGTGACAACGGCACTGCGACCAACGAACGTGTCATTGGTGTCGGGTACGCAGACCGGTATCACGTTGTCCTGGAAGGGCACGGGCTCGTAGAGACGCAGCAAGGCCAGGTCGTACTCAAAGGTGCTGGCATCGAAGCGCGGGTGCGTGGCCACGATCTGCACGCGTCGCTCCACGTGCGCCAGTGGCTCGTGCTCACTCTTCAGGTCGTACTCGCCCAGCCGGAGAAGGATGTCAGTGGGCGACACGCTGCGACGTAAAGGAGAGAAGCATGCATGGATAGATAAGAGAGCGAAAAGTGCTAGATCATGCAACAAATTACTTTATTTGCAATATTGAACCAGTAAAAAAAGGATGGAGATTTATACATTGTGCAAAAGTACAGCTCCCTCTCACACGTGAAGGTTAAAACTTCCAGGGTACCTTATGGTCATCATCATCATTCTGTCTACGCCTACTGCAGGACAAAGGCCTCTCCTATGTTCCGCCAGTCAACTCGGTTCTGTGCTTGCTGCTGCCACTTTGTACCGGCAAACTTCCTAATATCATCTGCCCGCCTAACTTTGTCTTCTTAAGAGACAAGAAAAGAGCAGAGTGAGTCAGGAAACAATCCGGGGTTAAGGATATCATAGCTGATATAAAAAATGGACATGGGCTGCGCACGTAGCGCGTAGGCAGGATAATCGCTGGTCATGAAGGGTAACTGACCGGATTCCCATAGAAAGCAAGCAGGTGAGAGAGAGACATTATGACGATGACTACTTAATATGACTGGAAGGCGACAGCCACCTTATTTTTCTCAGTCAATCAAGTGATGCTGCCCCGCCACCCTTCGTAAGGTGTCTGCACCTAATGTGGTTTTTCACTGCCTCGGTGAGTGAAGGCACTTCGGTTTTTTTTTTCTTAGCCTCTGTGATCGGATCACCTTTGACCAAGCCACGATGTCATGTGATAACGGCATCATGCGAGAGTACGTCATGATGACACACAAAATTTCGGTGATTTGGGACGTCATCGTCATTAGTTATGGTGATGTCATGACGCGATTTTCGTAGCGCTAGTCCTGACACCATAGGACGCTGACACCGATGGTCAAATTTCGCGTTTAACAAAGTACCCAAGGCTTTCGTCTTGAAAACAAAAAAGACATTCTATAACATTCGCAGAAAGAAGCGTGCCACGCGGGAAACAAGGGAATTCAAAGGCACAACCAACACTCACAGGCTCAAGCTTAGAAAAGGCTGTAGGATGGCAGCTTCACACTGAAGCACCTGTTGTGTTGTAGCATATAAATCACGTTATGAACAGATAGGGTTATCGCCCCCGATTCAGCATGCTTTCTAAGCAGTGGAATATTTTTTTTATGAACGTAAAAACTTTCTGTATTCGGAGTGTCGCGAGCGTGCCATTATAGAGCGTGCCGTGTCGTGTTTGCCTTTTCCTCAAGCTCTCCTGACATACTCACCAGTACGAATGCTTCGTGTGATAGTGTATGTTCGTGAAGGTATGCGTAATATCTGGGAGCAGCTGCTCGTCAATACAGGAACCTAATCACTAATCCTGTTACATTCGAACTCTGAATGACGCAAAACAATGAACCGCACAACCTTACAAAACTAAAGCCCCCAAGACGATGTGCTACGTTTTAGTATGGTTAACAAGTTGCACAATAAGTCGGTCTCTTATAGTCCCGCTTTTCTTAATTTCGCTATAACAGGCCAGTTATTAGACGAGCAAAAGACTGTCGAAGTTTGTTATTTGAATTTCGCACCCAAACTTGAGAAGGTCCTGGTGGCGCCCGGAAATTTGAAATCATTTCGCATATCTTGGACACGTTGATTGAATGAAGTTTTCTAACCCATGAAAAATTATGTTAACGCCGTTAACGGATAAACCTTTACGCTGGCCCTAAGAGGACAGGAAAATCTACGCCGTCACGACGAGCTCGTGGGCGAATGACAGGGTGGCGTCACCGCTTGTATAGCTTTGTTTACACGCCTTTGTTTTCATTTGTTAGGCTTCTTCTCGCAGTAAGAGTGGTGGTGTAACTTGCCAAAACCAGAAATTTATTTCTATTGTGTCCTTATAGGTGAATGATGACTGGTTGATTTTAGTGGCTGAAAAATAAGTTCACGCTCAACTGTGACTCAACATATATACCTGTGTTCTTGCGCCATCAACATCTTCATAATAAATTTAGCACTGTTTAACTATCTCCATCAGCTGGATCGTTTGGAATCGGCTACAAGATGGCTGCATAGTATGTATTCACAATCCGGCTTACGTCCAGGACTTACAAAACCCCGAGTAAAGATCGTGGGAAGAAGTTGAAATACTCGAGTATATTTTCGAGAACTCATGCCGGCCATACACCAGGGGTCAGCCACCTGTGGTCCAGCGGGCAGTAATATGCGTACCCTTCCCTTGTCACTTCTTTTGTGAAGGCCTAAATTACAGTATTCACCCCAAATATTAGTCACTTAATTGTTATAATTAATTATATCTGGGGTATTACGTCCCGACACCACGACATGATTATGAGAGGCGCCGTAGTGGAGGACTGTGGGAATTTCGACCACTTGACGTTCTTTAACGAGCACCTAAATCTACGTACAAGAACCTCAAGCATATTAGCCTCCATCAAAAATGCGGCCGCAGCATCCAGGATTCGACCTCGCCACATTCGGCACACTACTCATAAAGGTGGCAGAATTTACCAAGAGGCATATAAGTGCTTTGAGCATCTATTCTGAAGCGAGAGACTGAATCGCTCTACTTTCCTTCTTAGTTCTAGCTCATTTGTTGGATTCTTGCGTATCATTTTCTGTCGGAAACTGGTCTTAGCGTTGACGCATTGAATGAAAATCTGACTAGTATCACTACGAAGTGCGCAGTGGAAGTTGTAGGCAGGGTAGTCAGACAGGACACTAACAAGCTGTGCCAGGAAACGAAGAACCTCATTAGGAAACGCCAAAGCATGCAAGCCTCCGACACAACAGACAAAATAGAACTGGCGGTGCTTTCGAAGTTCATCAATAAGCGTAAGGTATCTGATGCACGAAGGTATAACATGGAGAAAATGGAACATGCTCTAAAGAACGGAGGAAACGTCAAAGCGGTGAACAGAGTCTTGGGATAGGCAAGAACCAGATGTATGCAGTAAGGAACAAGGAAGGCAAAGTAACTACCAATATGAGTAGGATGGTTAAAGTAGTGGAGTAGTTTTACAGATATCTTTACAGTAGCCGAGAACACCACGACCATTATATAAGAACTATCAGTACACCAGGTGAGATCCCACCATTAATGATAGAAAAAGCAAGGAAAGCCTTGGAGGGAATGCAAAAAGGCAAATCTGTTGGTGAACATCAGGTATAACATCAGATATGCTGAAAGACATGGAGAGATTCTGTTAGAAAAAGTGACGACGCTGTATACGAAGTGTCTCCTGACGGAGAGGGTACCAGAATCTCGGAAGAATGCAAACATGATCTTAATCCATAGGAAGGGGAACAACAAGGAAGAATTACAGGCCTATCAGCTTGCTCTCGGTCGTATACAACCTATTTACAAAGGTAATTGCTAACAGAATTAAGGCATTGGAAGTCAATCAATCAAAGAATCAAGCAGTATTTTGTACAGGCTAATCAACAATCGACCACATTCATACCATCAATCAGACGATAGAGAAATGCTCAGAATACAGCCAATGACTATATAGTCTTCATAGATTACGACAAGGCATTTGATTCAGTAGCTAGATCAGCAGCGTAGGAAAAAAAAAAACTTGAGGAGCTCCTTGAGATTCACTCATGAAACTTAATTTAAGCTGCGGACTCACTCGGACTCACTAACGGAAATTTTCCCAAGCCAGACTCACTCGGATTCACACTCACGAAAATTTTCTTCAACCGGTCTCACTGTGGCTGAAACTCACCAAAACATTACTAACCCGAACTCAGTCACACTAACAGTCACAGCTCAATCTGAGTGTGAGTGAGTCCGAGTGATTCGACTCATGAGTCTGTTAGTCTAGAGTTAACTTGTTCGACTATGGTGTCAATGCTCTTGAACAGCAGTATCTTTCGTAATCGGTACTCTTCTTGGCGCCGTTTGACCCAGTATCTTGGACAACGAGTTCTGAGTGTTCGATAACCAGTAAGGTATTTTTTTTTAATAAATCAAGAACTTTCGTGGAAGAATTGAGGGAGGTAAGGGGGAGAGTCAAGGCACTTCCCTGCGTGATTCGCGCCTCTGAGCAATGAATAATGAAATGGTGTGTGAACGGCACTGCTTTGAAATACCTGTGTGTAAATGTGAGTATAAACGTAAATCCAGACAAGACTGACGTTAGAGGTGAAGATGACTAGATACGACCATAGGTCGACAAAAAATAGTTCATCTTACTCAGACTCATATATATATATATATATATATATATATATATATATATATATATATATATATATATATATATATATATATATATATATTGCTCTTTGGACTCACTCGGACTGAAGCTCGCCAAGAGAGAGAAACAACGAGCAAAAAGGAAGGCACGGAGGTTTACCAGATGCTAGTATCCGGTATGCTAACCTACACTGGGGTAGAGGAATAGGGGGTCGAAAGAGAGAGTTAAAAAATAAATAAGAGAATAACACGGACACACACGCACACACAAAATCGGTCCACTCAGAGGCGTTCCGACAGGCCAGTAGTTCACAAGAAGCCTAGTAGCGCTTGCACGGTTTCACTTGAACTCACTCGAACTCACGCTCACAAAAATTTTCAACGGGACTCATTCAGACTCATGAGTTGACTCACTAGGACTCACTCAGATAAAGTCGTGAGTATGATTGAGTCCTAGTGAGTCGACTCACGAGTGAGTTTGCCAACCTATGACCAGCAGTCACGCTGACACTGCGGAATCAGGGCGTCGACGAAGCATGCATAAACATCCTAGAAGAAATCTTCAGCGGATCAACTGCTATAGTACTCTAGAGCTCCAGAAAGCAAGCGGCAGAATAGCAATACAGGAGGGTGTAAGACAAAGGGATACTATCTCACCAATGCTATATTTACCGCGTGCTTACAGGAGGTTTTCAGAGGCCTAGAATTGGAAGAGTTAGGGATACGAGCAAATGGAGAGTATTTATAGTCCTGCGCTTCGCCGTTGACATTGCATTGCTGAGTCACTGAGAAAATAAATCGCAATTCATGATTGCCTGATTAGACAAGGAGAGCAGAAAGGTAGGTCTTCAAATTAATCTGCAGAAAACGAAAGTAATATACAACAGCCTCGGAAGAGAACAGCGCTTCGAGGTGTAGTAGAAGTGCACTTGAATTTGTAAAAGAGTACGTCTACTTAGGACAAGTAGTAACGGCGGAACCGAAACACGAGATAGAAGTAACTCGAATCTTCGAGAATAGGGTGCAGCTCACTCGGCAAGTATTCTCAAATCATGAATGGTAATCTACCCCTAACCCTAGAGAGGAATGCATATAACAGTTGCATCTTGCCGGTACTCACCTATGGAGCAGAAACATGGAGGCTTAAGGAGAGTTCAGCTTAAATTGAAGACGATGCAGCGAGTCATGGAATGGAAAATGATAGAGGTAACCTTAAGAGACAAGAAAATAGCAGAGTGGGTCAGCGATATCATAGTTGAGAATAATAATGAACAGACGTGGGCCAGGCACGTAGCTGGTAGGCAAAATAACCACTGGTCATAAGGGTAACTGACTGAATTACCAGAGAAGGTATGCTAAGCAAGAGGGAGGGACAGAAAGTTAAGTTGAGATTAGGAAGTTTGAGATAAGGATGTTTGCGTGTATAAAGTGGCAGCGGCAAGCACGGGACCGAGCTGACTGGCTGAACATAGGAGATATCTTTGTCCTGCAGGGGGCAGGGTCAGGCTGATGATGATGATATGAGAGCTTCTTAGAACGTTATAGTAACAGCAGCCAGCAAGTGCCTAGTAACTCTACTGCCAACGACGATTGCTACAACAACAGATCGAGCACTGACCGAAACGAGTTAGATTTCGGTGTAAATGAAAACATCATAATTAGTGGTCACATACTGAAGCATCATTTTCAGACTGAGTAGGGTTATATCCCATAAAAAAGAACAACTATGCCACTTGCCTAGCGGAACAGTCTTGACAGTCACTACACCGTCGTTCCGTTTGCAGTAAGCCTTCTGATCATTTTATGTGCACCATATTTATTGCTTATAATGAAAGCATGTATATTAATCTCCATCACCACTTTATTGTGTGCAGTAATAGGACTTGACGCTGAGAAGTGGCGCTGCCTTGGCGGAAACCAGGGGAGTGTGTGGAGCCGCTGCGCAAGCGCGAAGTGTTCACGCATCCGCAACAAACGTGAAGAGCTATTGCGCTCACTCTCGCCAGTTGTAGCATGTGTCGTGTGTATGACTTCACAGTCGGCACATATAAAAAAAATTAATTAAACATCTTTCCTAGCGTACTGCACTTTACCATTCCATGACTAGACACTCTGACCAGTGAGGTTTCTGTGACATTAAACGAAATAGGTACGATAAGAATTAGCTGTCACACCTTTTAGTGTTAATGCCTGAAGAAAGTGAACAAAAACCCAAAGTCAGAAACTCTGCTGCAATGACAATCACCACCTTATCTATACAGATCGAAGTACTATATAAGCATGCCCCGTAAGATACAGTTTGGGGCACCTTAAAAAGGTAGCTTATTAGTGCAATAATTGGGTTATACGTGATGAGCAGGCAGCAGTTTAACAGAGTAGGTGCATTACAGTGTCTTCTTTGAAAAAAACATAATAATCTAGATTGTTGCACGGAGTGACAGTTACTAGGTTACGCAAGTTTGGCTAGTTTATGTGTACCATAGGGTTTTTCATATAAAGACAATTTCATAAGTATAGTGCTATGGTTGTTAGCTTTTTGCAGTTTAATTTCCCAAAGCAACCCAGCCGATGAGAGATGCCTCAGTGTAACCGGTAGTGTCTTGTCTTATATTTAATAATCACCCGCGATAGAGAGGAGAAGCATGGCCTTCTGATTCCGACATGGCAGCAGCCAGTGGCAAGCCAATTGCCCCAGCGGGCCATCAGGCCTGGTCCATCAAGATCTGAATAATGTTCTAGTCTGTCTGTCACCTATTACTTCATGTTACTGTCATGGTAATTACATTTCTCAGGAAAAAATCGCAGAACATTGTATGCTTATAGTAGTGAATGAACCGTCAACGAGAATACGTAAATACGGATGCACGCACCCTCAGAAAGAATAACAAGGCTTTAGAAGACTTACGCACAAAATAACAGGGACTTCCGAGTTTTTATAGTAAGCAGTAAAACATTGGGATATACGTAGTTATCCTGACATGTGAGTAGCAAAGGAACGCAAGCCTGCACTAATGGGCGCTCACTTAAGACCGACGACATGAGCCGGAGGGCCGGGGACACCACCTTCAGAAAAGATAGCAGAGTGAATGAGCGGAACTATTTCTTCAGCCACTGAAGTGAGAGGTTCTCGCACTTGAGTCATCTTGGCGAGGTCTCTTCGAACTACTTAAGATGTATGCAACTATAGTGACTAACATTCTCTTAGATTATTTAGGGTTGTACAAGTACAGCTTTGTAGCTACAGGAAGGGACGACAGCAACATTAAAGTTTGTTTCTGCAACGCTCTGATTCCGTCTAAACGGGCCACATTACTCCTAACATACGACTTGTAGCTAGACGTTCGCAATAATCACGTTTACGCATGATGTAAGTCAGGCTCTACACAAAATACGACAATTTATACATACACATTACAACAAGTGGTCAGTTTAGCGAAGAAAGTGTTCCCTGTATGACAGGTGTATTAAACTTACACCAGCTAATCGGCAGCAGTCACGAACGTTAGCCCCGCAAGTGGCTTGTACAGTGAAGACGTTGTGTCGGCGAAGGGGTCGAACAAAATGCTAACGCTACCATTCGAAGGAGGCCTTTCCCATATCACGTATACGGATATTATTAATGCAGGTTTAACATCATAATTAGGGATGATGAATAAATGACTGAAACCATGGGGCAATCCTAAAATATAATGCTTTTGTCCAAATCCATGGTTTGTTTCAACACAAAGTGACTGCATGCTTGAGACCAGCCACATCTCTGTAGCATACCCCGAACAAAGCGTTATACCCAATGATAGGACAGAAAAATAATGCGAGCACCAACTAGCAATGTCACGAAGGGGCACACAGACATATAATAAATATGGTATGAAGGCAGTATTGTGCGGGCAGTGCGTTTGACACCCCTGATGTATAGAATCAGGAAAGAGCACTTAATAAAATAAAAACAAATTTACACCATGGCAGTGACCGTAAGCCCGATTCAACTATGTCAATTAAGTGAAGCCGAGGTTGTGTAGACGTGATGATTGCGCTTTTTGCATTTTCGTTTCCAATCTCAATGTTGTCATCAGATAATGAAATTGAACTCGCGGTCTCATTCGCTGTTATGATGGAACACCGTTACTACGTTATGAAGAGCATCAGATGTACTGTCAACAGAAAGTTGACAAGTTGTGAGCTTCAAACTAATCACAAAGACTAAAACAGCACATAATCAAGACAAAGACGTAACGCAGTATAGCCGCTGTGGTTGTTGCACCATAAAACGACGACACGACTAGCCGGCGAAGAAAACAGATTGCCTCTATTACACTCAAACCAGCATATCGAACTTAAATCGGGTGAGGAATACTGAAGTACTTACTTGTGAACACAGTGGGCCGCGCTAATAGCCCAATATTCGTTCAGGAGCGCAGCACCGCACTTGTGTAGGAAGTTGTTTCGTTTGAACTGTCGCAGTGATATCTGAAAGTGGGCGAGAGCAAAGCGCTAGGTCAACTACAGCCAGAATATTCCTTTTGGTTGATCTTCATATTGAAAACCGAAGCACACAAATCCATTTGCAGGCACAAGTGAATACGTCAGGCCATTGAACTGTTGACGATTTCCAAACACTCACCATCCAGGGCCATTGAGCAAATTTCGTCTGTTCGCCTCCCACAATCCTGGCACTTGCCACTGACCGTGGCCGGCCGCATACTGCAAAAGTGGACGTAATGAGAATCGGCTGTTCACAATGGCTCACGCTATGGCTCAAATGTGTGTTAAAGGAAAGATCAACGTAAATTTACTTTTGCGGATGTCCTTGTCAGGAGAGAGAGTCGATGGCCCCGCTTTCGTCGTAGTCGTTGGTGTAGTCGTCGTGGTCGTAGCCTTCGGAACGGTCGACTGGACAGTCGGCGGTGGCGTTGTTGCTCTTCTAGTAGTAGGCATTTGAGTCGTGGTCCTTCGTTCTTCCGAAACGCTATACGACGGCACGGACTGCTCTGTTGTGTACTTCAAAGTTGTTTCAGGCGTTGTCGTGATCGGCGCGGTCGTCCCTTTCGTGGTAGTAGTCGTAGTGCGACGTGTGGACAGCGCAATAGTTGTGGTTATAGGTCTTCGGCGCGTGGTAATTGTTGTGGTTATATCTGGGCTGGAAGTGCTGCTAGGTTGGGGTGTAGTCGGCCGTGCTGTTGACGTCTGCTGTTGCGTGCTTGTGAGAGGTTGCGTACTTATTTCATCTCTTGTTGAATTATCTGCTGCTGTAGCGCTTACCAATTCGAGTGACGGCACCTCCGAAGGATCTGTTCTGACTGTTACGAAATCAGCCTCTGTGGTTAAAGCGATTGTCGTAGAGTCCAGTGTCGTTGCTACTGGGTTAGTCGTGGTCGGGAGAACTGGTTTCTCAGGGGGAGGCTTCGACGGTAGCGGCGACGTGTCCGCCACATCTGGTGGTGGCTTCTGCGTCGTAGATAGCTCGGTCATATCGACCCACGAAATCGAAGTAACCGTGTCGGTCACCGTGGACCAATCCATCACCGATGAAGTGGAAGATGGCTGGCCGGTGGCTTCAACTTGCGTCGGAGTCGTCGTTTGCTGGCCACTGGCATCGGCCTCATCCACAACTACCCAAGTCTGCTCCGTTGGTACGGACTGTGGAATAGCCATCGTTGTTTCTCGTTCGTTAACAATCCACGTGTGACTCTGCACTGTCGAAGTGAATGGCCGTTGTGTAGTTGTCTGTGCTGTCGTAGTGTCGGTACCAAGTGCCTGTGTAGAAGTCACAGGCGCTTGCGTAGACTTCGTGTAATCCTGCGATGTGGTATCGTATCCAGCTGTTTCAGTCACGCCGCTGGTTGTTTCCACTGGTTGCTCCGTTGTGACCTTTGTCGCCGTCAGAGTAGAAGACTCCTTTGGTGGCCCTGTAGTCGTTTCTCCGGGATCGAGAAATGTGCTCGCCACAATTGGTATCTGTGTGGTCGTGACAGCAGCTGGCGCGGTTTGTTTCTCAGTCGTCGTCGTCGGCAAGGTAGTTGCATCCCGAACGCTTATACTTGACCCGTAATCATTTGGCACAGTTGAGGGCGGTTCATCGGAGACAAATGGCAATGTTGTCTCGTGAGGCCTCCATGTTATAAGACCTGGTGTAAACGTTGAGAGGCTGACAAAAGGAGTAGGCCCCGTCGTGGCTGGCACCGGTGTAGGGCCTGGTGTCGTCACAGCATAGGTTACTGGTTGCGTAGTCTTCGACGACATCTGCAACGTGGTTTTGGGAGTGCTCGTAGGAGGCCGCTTCGTCTTTTTCTTGTAGTCGTCGTCCTCACCTTCGTACGGCGCACTGTCAATGCTGTTGGTCGGTTCAGAAGGCTGGTCATGTGGCTGAACGACGACCCCGGGCGGTAGTTTGCAACAGCTGCCCGTGTAAAAAGAATCTGTGCAGTATGTGAGGTGGGTGCCGCCCGCGCTGAAACAGTCCCAGGCAAACATGCACGTGCCTTCTTGGCCGGTAACCCTGTTTTGGCACGGCTTGAGCTTTATAGTGCGGGTAGCGCCTAAACGAAAGAGAGAGAGAGAGAGAAAAGAGATTAGTTACCCCCGCGGTTACGCGTCTCTACGTTTTCAGAACGCTACGTCGAGAAAGCTGAGCCACACCTGCTCACGTAACATGGTCAACAAGTACTTAATCATAAGCGCACGTGCAGATTCTTTATTTCCTCCCACAGCATACTTATTCAACCGGAACGCTAGACGTGTCAACTTAATAAATACATCTCTCTAGCACAGGCCAGACACGTACGCGACGTGGGCTGACGGCTGTCAGTCGGGAACACGGCTGAACGCGCCCTACCTGCCTTCCAAAACGAAAATTAATTTACGCGGTCCTCCGAGGAAATGTAAAGAGGTCACACGGGTTGCAAAAGGAGCAGCAAATGGAAGCCAAGTGCTGCCACCGTAACGTCTCAGGCATCGTAGACCCCGCTGGCTTCACGAAAAAAAGCCATGTCTGGCGGCCGCGGTGGAGGGGCATGAGGAGGGCACCCACAACACCGCAAACACATTGACCTTCACCCTTGGAGCCTTCCTCACCCGCCCTCACACCTGTACGAAGACAAGGGCGCTGGGGAGAGAGGCGGGTATGCCCTCCTTGGTCTCTACCTGGCGCGTGACCTTGCTGGTCGAAATATCGGTTAGAAGAGGAAACGGGTTGGGAGGAGGGGGAAAGACCAATGGCGGAACCGGCAAACGCGGAAGACTCGTGCGGCATCGTGGTTCACAGCGGGAAGACGATGGCGAAGGGAGGAGAGGGGGCAACCCCGGCTGTCGACGACGAAAAAGACGAACATGCACAAACTGGGAGAGAGAGTCCAGCCGCTTCTTTCCTGCAACAGCGTAGGCAGTGAGGCAAAGACGAGTGCAGGACATCCGGTCGTTCACCTTCATCGCTCGTCTTTTTTTTTCTTGGTATTTTTTCTTTTCTTTTTCTTCCCCAAATGCCAAGGTCGGTTTTTCTAGGGTGCTCAGAGCCGGCGCGTTGCGTTTTACCTGGATAAACGGCCTCGACGGAGGCTGGCGATCGCTTCGCCTCGGGCTCCTCACTGGAGCGAGGGAACCACGACAAAGAAAAGCCAGCAGGGAAAGAGGAGGACTGCTGGCGGAGTGCCTCGGATGGCAATAATCACCCGCCGGGTCGTTCGATTTGCGTCCCGGGATTAACTCTGTTGCTGCTGCTTTCGAAATTGGGCTAAGCAGCGCGCGGAGACGACGGCCCCGGTGCGTCGGAGATGTGTCGCCTCCGGGGGGTCTCACTTTGCCGGTCCCCCGACAGGACGAGGCACATACATCATGGCTGCTTTTAGGACACGAGGCAATTTGGCAAGGCGCGGTAGCCGATTGCTCTTGGTCTTTTGTTGCGTTTCATCGGTCGCCCTCCTCTCCGAGATCGCGTGCGACCATTCTTGCTGCTGCAGCATCCGGACAAGTTCAAGTTCAGGGCCGACCGTCCGTTGGCTTCTCTGTTAGTCTTGCAAGAAGCAGGCTAATCGCTCGGACTCTGTCCCTATGTTATTCTCGTTTTATTCTCCATTTCGTATTTTCGGTTCGCCGCGTTTTCTCGGTCGGCCGGGGAGCAAGTTTTCGCCGAATTTCGCGATTTGGTTATTTTTCTTTCGGACTTTTGAGTGAGAGGTGGAGTCTTAGTTCGATCGGGAACGAGAAAACACAACTAAACTGATTTTGTTTCCTCGCGAGGGACAGGTATCGTTCATGACAGGCGACTACGTCCCGCACTGCTTTCCGTGGTCTTGTTCTACTCACAAACTTCCGGGAGGCCCGAGTAAAAACTATCTATTCGACAGACCTTAGGGCGCCCAGTCATCGACAGACCCCTGCACTATGGCGTCTCTCATAATCACATGGATGATATATTATTATTATTAGGTTATAAATATATTTTCATTATTATTATTTTATTTTATTATCAACCACGTAAACCAGCCTTAGCACATGACCAAGCGAAACAGAATGCAGACACCCGATTTTTGTAAATGAACGAGCACAAATGATCTAGAAAAGTTGGCTATCAGCCACATGTGGAGCGTGGGACTGATATTTCATAAGGAACTCTCGTTGAATATGACCATTCCAACACAGTCCCTTGAATAGGCCGATTCAGAGCGTTTCGAATTTTAGCTGCACGTTCAAAAGGCTCAGTGTTTCGCATCTGATGTGAGCCTTTAAACGGGCAGCACACCGTAAGCAATCGAGCATTTGTTGCAGGCAACTCACAATACAGTTCTTGCCTCCATACCAACGGCACCCGGAATCAGACACGACTGAAACGCTGCACTATTATCTACTGTAGGCCGCTTCATTTGATTGGAGCAGATCGTAAAACTGGACGATTAGGTATTCACTGCAACGTTGCATACCAATGTAGCACTGGGACATGAACGCAACGCAGAGACGCACACAGTCGGCAAAGCTAACAATAGAGATCTGCCTGTATGTGAACAGTGTAACATCACTGCGAGCCTATCGCCCACAATTTACTCCCACTCAGTAGGGGCTTGTTGTCAAGAAAGTTCCGCCGGTGGGATCTTTCTGCATAGCAGCGCTGTGTGTGTCCGCATTCCTTCGATAAAAGTTTCTGAGAACTGCAATAGTCTAGAGTCACAGTTTTAAAAAAGGATCACTGCCTATAATGCACGGTTTTGTTAGGTTAATGCGAGGCGGTTTGGTCCTCGTTGATGGCAGCCATAAAAAAGAAGTCACGGTATTTCCGCAAAAGCGAAACAATGAATGCGATAGCAATACATTGAAATGCCACGCAGAGAACGGCAAGCAAATCGAAACGTGCCCTACGTTGCAGACGCACAAATGATGCATGAAATGTACTCCAAGTTCAGATGAACTCGAATAAGTGTCTCAGTTGTTACATCGATGTGTCTGAAAAGAGTGCCCTTTTCGCAAACTGAGACTGCGCAGCGAGTGCAGTGACCTTTGTGCGTCCGGTAACTACAACAGAATCGTTCCGGTGATAGCCCAAGGCGTATGATTCTCCCCACCGCGAGATAAGCGCGTGCACGCATGAACCTCTACCTCCTCCCCCACCTCCGGGAGGGGGGGGGGCCGGCAATGTAAGCGTGTGAGGTGAACTCATGAGCACGCGTCGCCACGTCACGACGATCTGGCGACGCGCCTTTTTGAACCATCTCGCTGGTAATTCAGAAAAAAAAAACATTCCCCCCCAGATGGGTATCGCCAGCGGTAAGTGGTAGATAAAAATATATCTTGCCGTTTGAACGTTGAAGAATGTGCTCCTTCGTGGGGTAGTGGCTAACGCCACGCGCTCATAAGCAAGAGGTCGGAAGTCTGATTCCATGCGTCGGGGTCTTATTCTGGATTTATTTTCTGACGGCAGTCGCCGGCGGGGAAATTCAGCCGAGAGTTTCCAGATAATTGCGATCGCGATAAAATCTTATCGCCTTCGAAAGTGAGCGTTCTGCATCGTTCCCGTTGGCTGTCGCTTGGGAAATTACTAGCATAGGATGGATAACATGTGCACTGCAGTTTTAAACGAGGTACACCATGCATTGGTGGTAAGATGGTTTTGAGCTTCTTACTGCGCGTAATTCTGATCAGACATGAATTAAGAAGAGAAAACAACACAAGAAAACACTGTTTGCCCTGCGTTATAAGCAAGGGTTAACAAATAATTTCCCGCGAAAGTTAAAGCAAAGCTCTGGCATTGCTCATAACTCACTTAAAATTAATGCAGTTCTAAACTCGATAACTTAATTATATACATATTTTTTTGCGGAGTCAGCTCATTGCATCAGATGCCTACAACTTTCTTGCACACTTAGTTTGCTCTTTAAACCTGATACACAATACTTGTAATACGCATTATCACTTAATAAAGATCGAGCCGTAAAGATACCAAGTATATGAGAAACAAGAATATCTCCTGTTTCCATTAAGAGGTATGCGGTCTCCGCTAATACGAGTTACACTTTTATTGGGTTTGCGTTCTCGCCCTGGCGAAGAGTATATGCAACTTCTGCAATGCAGAAGCATGCTAGCAGCTCATGCGTAGTTGTATCTTCAGCCCGGAGATAATGTACACTTTTCTGCACGCGGCTCAAACACCGAGATGTACGCACTCGCAGATGATCGCGTCAAATGCATTTTTTACCTTGACTGTAATGTCGAATCGTGATGTTCTGTCTACAGCCGGTTAGTGCCACCGGCTCAAAACTAGTGCCAATGTCTTTGCAAACAAGATGCATCGTTATTTTGCACACAACACACAATATAACCAGTCTCACCGTCCGTATAAAGGTTAACCAATCTTGTCGACGCCTTTCAACGCACAGTACACGCTACAAAAAAAAAACTGCACATTTTCGAAGACGATGCCACTGTTTCTCGCTCAGGTCGTCCTGTTTTCACTTTCACTTCTCCAAGACAAACAGCAAGCTATTGCGTGGCAAGGTTTTCACCACGCAGTTCATCACACACCTAGTTGTTCTCTTACACAAACCATAGCTGACCCTGCCACAGTAAGATGAAGTTCAAGTTAAAAGAAAAAAGCTTGCTCCAAGAATCGCACAACTGTTCCACGCTGAGCCACTAGCGGGGATTATCTGCCAACAGCCTCATTTGCAGATAGGCCGGTGACGTAGCTCACTGTGACGTAGCTCGGAACAGGTCTGTTGGCAAGTTCCTTGGAAACAGGAAAAACAAATCTAGAACCAGAACCAAATCCAGAATCCCCATCCTTATTTATACTAATATGGGACACGTCTTTCGAGGAAGCTGACTCCACTATCAAACAGGTTGACACATGGGAGGCTTCTCTGTGGACAGCCTCGACGACTTCACTTGCTTTTCGGGCCAAGTTACTGATGATGACATGCGTCGTGCCAATAAATTGTTTTTAATAGCATGAAAGGCAACGTGCAGACTGTTGTATATATCTTTGTTTACATTTTTTTTCTTGCGAATCCAATCGTTTTTAAGGGTAAGTGT